TTCAAAAAGTTTATATAAAAAAAATGGAAAGTAATTTAAACAAAAAAAATTTTCTTATTTAAAACTGAACGCAGGCAATCAGTTTAAAGTAAGACACGCAATAGATAACTATAAAACATAAAATTTTCAATTAGAGTTTTACTTTTCTCTATTATTTGTCCCTCTTTTTGCCTTCATGGCCATCATTAATAAGACATACACCAAATAATTTAATATTTTGTATAACATCAACTAAAACTAACTGTGTACCTAATAACAAAGAATAATAACAATATAAATTTTTTTTGTTTGTTTAGTTTAATTTTTATCAACTTTAAAATTCAAAATTTTGCAAGTTTACTATATATTCTAAAAGTTTTTAAAAAATAGAGCATTTATTAAACCATTTAATTTCAAGTGGATCATATTTCGTATCTCTTATTGTGTTTTTTCTTAAATACTGTTTAATTTCAAATTTCAATGTATACCTACAACAACAACAACAAAAACTTAAATCACAGCAACAACAACAACAACAACAACAACAACAACAACACTATTATATTTACCAGAAGTATTGATAGATTTATTCTATTTATACTTCTGGTTTCGTTTTTGCCTACTCTCTTTTATCACATTTATTAAGTGATAACAGATAAATCCGCGGTTCAGTTTGCACTTACGTGCAAATGATAACAAAATATTATGATAAAATGAAATATAAATTTAAAAATATTATGATCAAATAAAATATAAAAGCACTTTCACAAATACTTTGACATCCATTCTTTGGTAGTGGTTTAGCACTTTTGTCGGTGGAAGCGTAAACGTAAACGCAGCAACATTTAATTAATTTGGCTTCACACACAGAGACACCATCATTTGGCTTTATATACTCTTCTACACAATCTTTTAGACAACCTTGAAGTGTATATGGATGTACCTAGTGCAGTCATACTATTATTTTTATTTTCGCTTATTTATTAATTAATTAACAATTAAGATTAGTGTAATTGTAAGATACATTTGAATAACAAGATTCAGTGATTGTATAGATGCGAGTAAGATGCGAGACGTATTCGTTTATTCAGAACATGATGATATCATTGTTTTCACTTGAGTCATGCGATTCAGAAGTATTAGTATTTTAATTCAAGCCATAAAAACCATAACTATAGAAAAGTTTAAAATTTGTATTTATTTATTTTTGTTTTTTCTAAAATCTAAATTAAGTTCAAAGTTCTTCAACAGCGGTTCTCGGTGACAAGACATGTATGGTCTTCTTTGAGTATCCGCGTTCTTTATCTTTATTCTTTATTTTTTAACTGTTTCTTTGGATTGTAATTTTTCTTAACTTATTTGTAAATATTGTATTAAATGTTGTAATAATGAACAAAAAAAAAATACTATATGCTATCATTAATAGAATACAATAATTGTGGTAGAGCTATAGCTGAACGATATCTCTTCTTACAACTTAATAATACATGATATAATATTAAATATTTATAATATATTATATAATATAAAATCATATAATATATATTATTAATTTTATAATATTATTTACTAATGAAAATGTCGTTAATACAAGTGAATTGCTTTAGCAGAATGGTATATTTTTTGAAGAGATGAAGTTCTGCAAAAAATTTTTACATATACTGCAACTGCTATATGAAGGCTTTATTTATAGCTTTTTGCGTATAACTGAATGATTTTGACATATCTAGAGCTTTTTGCGTATACCTAAATGATTTTGACATATATTATATTTATAGTTACATAAATCAAAAAATGACTTTTCACTTATCTTCTTGTTTAATTTATTTTTGACTTGACAATTTTAGTGTATGCACGCGCTCTTAACGCCTATTTTTAATTTTCTGTTTTTTGTTTACAATTAATTTAAACGAGGCACGAATGTACGTACTTTTAAATAAAACGCGATAATAAACTCGAATTTAAAACTTAAAAATAGATTTTTCTTGTATCAACACCATTATTAAATACGTGATAAGTACTCCAGCTATTTTCAATACCAGATGTGCCGGCTGGATTACCTAAGGCCACATTTGTGGAACTCATTTCTCTCGAATAATAGTAAAACTACAATTTCAGTTTAAACTTTTAAAAATTAAAAAAAAAAAAAACATATTTTTGATTATGAAGTGCCTCAAATTCTATTTTTTTATAAATTTTCATTTTATTCTCCCTTATTTTTCAACTTTTCTTTTTTGTTAAAAAGAGATATCATTCTCTACATCATTGCCTATCTTTATTTATTTTTGTTTTTTTGTTTTTTTATTTTAATTTGTATCCTATTGAAAAAATAATGTAACGCTTTTTATTTAAAAGTATATATTATTTTACTAAGGTTGTAAAACTTTTTTATATAATATTTAGTTTGTACATAATTATTTTTTATATGGGGCGGGATGATAAGAGTTTTTTCTTCTGCCTTTTCCCATCTTTTCTTAATTTATAAAAATATTGTATATAATTTATTAGGAAGATGACAAAATAATATAACAAAAAAATTCGGTAGTTTTTTTTTTTTTTTTTTCTTTAAGCAAATACCAGCCAGTTTCCGAAACCTCGGTATTTAGTAAGATGTTAAAAGGTTTAATTTATAAATTAAACCTTTCGCGGTCATTTACATAACTGGATTAAAAAATGCCAATTGAAAATAATGTGACAGAATAGATAATACACTATCCCCATGGAGAGATGTACTTAGCAGAGTACTTCAAGGTTCCATTTTGGGACAGCTTTTTTATGCTGGATTTACCAGATATAGATAAACCGGATAAAATTTTACCGGACATTAGACAGCAGCAAGCTCATAGGTATTATGAAGTCTGATATTAACGTAGTATGTCTTCAAAAAGATCTTGACACAGCTAATAACTGTTCAAAAAATAGATCATGTCACTATTAAACCACAAAACGTATCTAGTTAATAAAAAACCTAAAATGCAAGAAACGTTTAACACGGTTTAAATTGACTACCATGAAACTCGCTTCATGCGTTATATACAACAATACAAAATAATTAATAGAATTGGTTCAATCAATTTTGCGGCGCAACAAACCACACCAGTTTATCAATGAATTTCAATTAAGTTAAATATTGACATGCATACGTTGAACCAAAAATTAAATTGAGTTTTTTGCTAATCATTTTTAGTTAAGGATGGTTAAAATCAGAGACTATTTCCATAAATCCATTAAAGTTTGTGTTTTATGCAGCATTTGAAAATATTAATATTCTTGTAGATCTAATTTCGTTTCAAATTAAGATGTTTCTTCAAGCATGTTTTCTGGAATTGGATAACTATTAATAATTTAAATCAATTAAAAAAGAATATACCAACAATGATAATGTTAGAGCATGCTAATGTTTAAACCTGTTTTAAAAGTCTTCGTATAAATTATGTAGTTTTTCCCTGTATATATAAATTAAATCTTATGATTATCATAATGAAAAGTATGGTTAGGGTTATGAATTATCTTGCTAGCCCTAATGACATTCTTAGAGCCGAATGCGGCTCATGTAACGCTCTTTTGCCATTCCTGGTATATAATTTTTTTTTTTTTTTATCTATAAATTTTCACAACTACATATTAATTACAAAATTTTTTTACACTGCGATAACATAAACAAAACAAACTTCCAATACAAAAAAATTAATATTTTACAAAATACCGTTAAGATAAACATAGGAAGCAATAACTAAATATGCTATGACTTGACAAGGGTTTTGACTGTTGTAGAGAACTCGTAGAAAACTGAGTTTAGTCTTATCATCGAGAGCCTTGGGGTGTTGCGTAAAGTACACATATAAACATTATGATTTTCGTGAAACAAATATTTTAAATGTTATTGAGGTAGACTTTTCTTTTTTTTTTTTGTTATATTATCTATGGTGTTAGTGTTGTAGTTTATAATAATAATACTATCTTTATTTTTTGATTAAAAAAAAAAAAAAAAATACATTTTCATTTTTGATTGATTGCTGATTGTTTGAATATGAGCGTAAATATTAATTTATCATTGGAACTAAAACATTTCTAAGTAATTATCTGTATTGAGAACATGACTTTTTAGTTTCGACTTTAAAGAAGTTATATTGTCAGCAAGAGGAATTGAGGTATAATTCGGAATTAATTTGTTATATAAATAGAAAATTGAGAAATTTTTTTGTCTTTTCCGGGGTACAATAAAGTTACCAGTTGATCTTGTGTTATATTTGTTGACATTAGATTAAAAAAAACATTCTGTAAATCGATTTGGAACTAGTCCTAATTTGTATTTTAGCACGAACAATATATAAGCATAGATATTAATTTGGTAAATGTTTAGCGCTTTCATTTCTTTTAATAGGGGTTTAGCGCGGGTCAGTTTGTTCTTATGACGTATTATTCTGGAGGCATGTTTTTGTTGTCGAAAAAGGAACATTAACTTTGTCTTGTGTGCGCTTCCCCAAGCAATGTTGGCATATGTGAGATAACTATGTATAAATGAAAAGTAAAAAAGTTTTAGGTTTTTTTGCGACAAAAATGGTTTAGATTTAAAACGTCCACCAATACCTTTAGATACTTTAGTGTTAATGGCATTTACATGGGCTGTCCATGAAACTTTTTCGTCAATAATCACACCAAGAAATTTAGTTGTTGGGGTTCTTCCAATTTTTTTTTATTTTTTTAAAATAAAGAGGTAAAAACAGAAATTATTAGTCATTTTGAAAATGATTAAAAGTTAATTTAAATTTAAACTTTTTTTGTATAAAACTTGTTATGAAAGGTCAGTAAAGTTTGTATTTTGAGGTTACTGGGATCTCTTTATAAACAATGACAATTGTATTGACTGTGTATGTTTTAATATTTACAAAATTTTTTTTTTACTAAAAAAGATAATCACTATTTACTTCAAAAAATTGTTGAAAAGGAAAGGATATTATCGGTGTTATTATTGTTAGTACAATTTTTTTTTTTGCTAATATAATTTTTCTTTTTCGTAGTGGAATTATTTACAATGGTTAACGATACAGAAATTAAACAGAACAAGATGTTGACAACTATAACTAACCTTCCACAAGAATATAATTTATCATTCGATTTCAAGCCAACAGCATATTTAAACCAAACAGCGAACGTTATTCATTTAACAATGATGGGAGATCATAGTAAGTACGGTTATAGAACACCAGCTGTGTGGATATCATCAACCAACACATTGACTTTTGCATCAGCTATTAATGGCTCAACTAATACTATTTTTAATTCATTTATAACACCACCAATTAATGAATGGATACATATTAAAATATCCCAAATAAACTTTTTAAATAGATATGTATTTGCAGTTGATGTTGCAAATAAAAATATTTACACCACAACAAACATTCTTTCAAAAAGTTTTGATTATGTAAGAGTTTACGTGGCAGATCCATGGTATTCAGCTCAACCTGGGTTTATTAGAAAAATGGTTGTTGCTGACATAAAATCAGGTAAATATTATAAATATATTTAAAACATAAATTAATAAACTTTGCTTGGTCGCTTTATTTTAATTGAAAATCGTAACTTTTTTGTTTTGAAAACTATAATTAGTTTGGAAATATCGGGAAAGTCAAAATATGTTAAATTATTCATTATCTTAAAATTAATAGATTGCATGTCTTAACAAAAACTTAAGCCGATGTAGCATCTCTTCGCGTGTTTTTTCTGTTTGTATATCGTTGCAGTAGCTGTACTAGCATGTTAGTCTACTTCTCATTTAATGTAAATGCATTGATAGCATGCTTTACCTATTTAATAGTCGATGTAACATTACTCATTTCGTGATTTACATATTTTTTAGTCTATGTGGCAAAATTCTTTGCATGTTTCATCTACTTTTAAGTCGATACATGTAATCAGTAAAAAAATAAAAAAAAAGCATTGAGAAAGTTTTTACTTTATTTATTTTTTTTTTTTAAAAAAAAACATTTTAGTCTTTGAGGTTACGTTTTTGTGAGTTTTTAAATAACATTAAATGATAATTATTTCCTTAATTAAATTCAATGATTTTGAAATTTAACTATATTTGTATTCTTTAAACGCAAAGAGTCGATTAGACACGATTAGCACAAATCCTGCTAATACCAACCTAGCTGACCCAAGAACGCTATTTACATGAGGTGCTCGCGTACATATCAAAGTACCCTGTAATACAAATTTTTTAATTTTTTAATTTAACCGCGGAAATTAATTTAATATCAATGTTCAAAGTAAGAGAAATCTTGATTTTATAGTGCGACAACTATAAAATCAAAAATCAGAATATTTACATATGAAATACATGTATTTCGTTTTAGTTTTATAGTGCAACAATTATAAAACTAGAATGAGAACATCTACATATAATGTAATAAAAGTTGATGAAAATGTTCAAACGTAGCATATGGCCACACCGCTCTAGATAAAGTTTCAGTCGGATTGGTTAACAGGTTAAATATTATGGTAGTTTTGTTTTATATTTTGTTAGTTTTAAGTTAATTAGACCTCAAACCGTTAACGATTACATAGACATTCATTCACTAATTTAAAACAAAGGTTCCATTGTTTTCCGCTATGTAATGTCAACAATTTTTATTGTAATTGCTACATGTACCATTTTTATTTTATAGACGAAATTATCAATTTGCTATTTGAAGGCTGCCTTGAATTAGCTTACGCATAACGTAAGTATCTCAATATTTCTAAACTACTACCAAAATGCAAAAAAACTGACAAAAAATTGCAAATCCTAAAAAAGTACTGTTATTTGATAAAGCAATAAAAAAAAAGTCTCTGTTAAAATAACTTTTATTTGCTTCAGAAACTTATTAAATGCATTAAATTTCAAAATGAAGGAATAAAATAACTATATAAACCGATTTTTTTATTACCATTAATTATTATTTGTATTTTAGAATCATCTAATATCTATACCACTATTTATCATTTTTTTATCTATTACCATCAAATAGTATCTGGTAAAATTTTAAGAAATTTCTCCGTAACAAGTTTATTCATAATAGCTTATTACGCTCTTAAAATAAAGTAAAATACTTTTAAATAATTTTACATGCAATATTAAAGTTCATAATAACTTACAGCAGTTAAAGATAAAACGGTAAAAATTTTAATTATAAACCTTAGGCTTTATTTTTTGGTTCCTAACCTTATAACAACTTACTGTTCTAATCAGTTATGTAGCATAAAAATCTTGAAAAGTGGATTGACAACTTCTATAAGAAGATGCAATTCCATTATTGAAATTATTTCCCAAATCAGAACGTTATCAGTACCACTAGTAATTGGCTTTCAAATGACATTGCTAAACAACTTTGCACAAGCTCGCGACTAAGTTTTATAAAGCCCAGTGTTTGCAAGTTTCCATATTATGAAGACACTTGGATTTGACGTCACACCAAGTTCAAGAGTGCATACTTAAATAGGTAGAAAGACTACAAACTATATTAGCGACTTTCATATTGTAAGCCAAATTTAATTTTATTCTATTTCCATTAATCAGTGATCCGTTTTGTTAAATATTGGAGTAAGTCTCTGGCAAATCTTCTAATACCCAACAAGAATTTGAATCTTAACTTCAACATACTTGCCAGTCATTTGAGTATGAGGTTGTTTTTGAGACGGTAAGCTGGTATCAACCCTTAACATTTCCGAGCTTAACAATATATCAATCAAAAATTCTACGAGATTATAAATCCTGATTCGCAAGAAATGATCAATTATTGCAATGAGCACTAACCCAAACTGTACCAAAATCTCCTTTTCTGTCTGTAATTTGTAAGTCACTGCAGTTAACGAAGTTAGTTAAAGGTTGCCTTGCTCTTAAAAAATTCTTAAAATAAATTGGGAAGTTACGGGGGTTCTTTGAGACAGATAAAATTTTTAATGTGGTAAAAGACGGTTTGAGTTTTGCGTGTTACTCTTGCACCAGTTATCATCAAGTAACATCTTTTTTTTTCTTTCTTTTTTCGAGGCTAGATTTTATTTAGCTCAGTGTTTGCAAGTTTTAAGATTTGGCGAGACACTTGGAATAAAGTTACACCATTTACAAGAGTGCGTACTTGAATTGGTTTAAAGACTTCAAATAAAATTTGCGTGAGTTTCTGGAAAATTTTCTGCTACCACAACAAGAATTCGTCACTTGTATAAATGTCTTCATTAGTCCTATAAGTGATAGTTTGTTTTAGAGGCGGCGAGCTGGTTAAGCTCTTTAACGCTGTATCAGCAATGTTTATACAAAAATTAAAAAAATATTTATCACCATTATGCTGGAGCTTAACAAAATACCACACCACAATTTTTTATGATAAAAATTCTTCTTACCATCTTGCTGTTTGATGTTTGGTTTGATAGTTCTGACAAGTCTCTTTAATCCGTTGATTGATAATTAAAACCTAGCTTAATCCGTTGATTGATATTAACCAAGCCCACAAGATGCCTTATCAAGTTTAATAGTTCCTACAAGGGATAGTTTTTTATTGGAAATAACTCAAGATGTAATTTATTTGGCTGCTCTGGAATCAATTGCTGTTAAATGTTTAAGGTATTTCCTAATCTTAATTTGAGAGCATTGGTGAGGCAAACCGTTTTCAAAAGAGCAGAGGCACGTACTACAATGTACATTTAGTTTACCTTAATGATGGTTTAATCTTCAGGAAGTCTTTCTTGCTGCTTTGAACAACCAATTCGATACAGTAGACAAAACACGTAATGGCTTTTGTTTTAGGTCTTACTTTTATTGAATTAAAATTATTTTTTCTCATGTTTCTTGCGCAAAATTGTTCTACACGATTGGCAGAATCCATGTACCGAGAACCACTAATATCAATCCTTGTCTTGTATTGTTGGCATGATCAAACTATTTAGAAAGCAATAGGTTGTAATTCAAGATCAAGGAAAAAACTTTTGATTGCAAGGAAAAAAATCTCACATATTATTTTTCCTTTCGATGAAATTTTTTTAAATTAATGACACTTGTCAAACATATTGACATTTTAGATGAGATTTTATTTGATGACACATTCCTAAATTAAATTTTTACTGCTCGTCAAAAGACTTTTTTTCCTTCCAAAAGATTATCCTCGAAGTTTCCAAACTTTTATTTATCAATTACTTTAGCTATCTTATCTAAATTTTTAATTTTTTTTTTGTTTAAACTTCTTTATAAAATATTTCAAACATTTTTTAATCATTTCATAAATTTTGAAAATATTTTATAATAGATAATAAATTATAATAGATATAAATAGTAATGTTTTCTAAATATAGTAATACTTTTATGCAATTTATAAGTTAAGTCAAGTTTTAATAAGCAAATCAATATTTGGTCCGTAAAATAAAAATGATAGTTGTACCAATAAAACTATAACAAATAAATAAAAAACTTGTTGGTTTAACATAGTAAAAATGCAACTGTTTATAAACACCCAATTAGCATGGAATGTGCAAATAATGCCCTTTAGTCAATTAAATCAAATTTGGTACGCTTATTAACCGTTTAACTTTTATGTGCTGCATCCTATATGTAGTGTGCAATAATAATCGCACATTAAAAAAAAATTTCCCCTGCCAAGGACGTACCGACGAGGGTGTGGGCAACTTCTTGGTTTTGTCGATAATTTGGAAAATTGGAGATACGGTCTGTAAAATGGTGAGATTTTTATGGTACGTTTCCGTTGTTCAGCACAACCCTGTCCCCTGCCATATTATAGGAGTGGATTCAATAACTAATTTTCACAACAAATCTACAACTCCCCCTCCCACCCTTTTTAATATCAACCTCTCCTAATATTTGATAACCTCCCTAAATACAAAAATAAAGTAAAAAAAAATCAATAGGAAACAATATATTGGAGATTGAAAAATACAGTAAAAAAAAAAAAAAATTGAAACAATGCAGTAGAAATATTTAGCATTCTAGTTCCTCCAAATACGGAAGATATAAAAATATTGTGTTCACTTAAAAATTATAAACGGGCATTAAATGCCCTCCATTTATTAATGCTACACAAACCTATTGTAATGTTAACGTAACCAACACCACAAATACAATATACGAGCATTTATTGTTGCGTCTTCTCTCCCGACTGTTATAACGCACAAAAACTACAGATAGGCAGCCGAAAGTAATGACAAAAAACCTAAAAGGTAATCGTTAATAAAGTTATTATGAATATATTTAGAGTATAGTTTTTCGTCGGTCGCAAAATTTAAAAGGAAGATTGCTATTTGCATTTTAAAATGCAATTTTCGCAATATAAGTTGTTGAATGGTGTATAAAATGCATTAAGTAATACTTAACTGTTGAATAACGAAAACATTTTATTAAGTAACTGCGGTCGCTATTAAAACCAGGAAATTGTTTATGACATTTTAATTATTTGAAAAATGCAAATCGTAGTTTTTAAGCACTTTAAAATACATGTAAAACCGGATCAAAACAATAAACAATTAATTTTTAATAATTTTTTTATTATATTTGTTTTTATATTTTTTCATTAGATAGATGTTAAAAAAATATTAAATATTATATAAATAAATATTAAAAAAAATAAATATTTAAACTATTAAAATAATAAAGGTAAAAAAAAAAATGGCGGTTTTAGGCAACATTATAATAAAACCGCACAATCAAGAACATTTTTAAATCACACATTAATTTTTTTAATTTTGAATATTGTTCTTTACCTTTTTTTTAACATATTTTAAATTTAAAAAACTAAATTATTGTTTTACATTTTTGTAACAAAAAATAATTCAGTTTCACACAAAAGAGTTCGAACACTAATTTTAATGATACTTATTTAAGAACAATAAAATGTATTAAAAAATATTTATTACAAGAAAAAACTTCAGTATTAAGTTTAATCAATTTAAACTATGTTAAAAAATTCCAAATTTTTGTACAAAAACATCAACATTTAAAAACATTCAGTTGTCTGTTTCGCTTTGCATACGCAGTGTTTAATGCGTCATCGAAAAGGCGTTCACTTGGTGCACTGGTAGCAGGCGTACATAAAATAATTGTTGAAATACAATACAATATGAGAGACACATATTGATTTTGATGCCAAAAGTATAAAATATTTTGCTCGTTTATTGACAACTTTATATAATTACTAATTTCTTTTTTTAAATCTAAACTTATTATTTTATCAGTATCATTTCCGGAATCATCATCTTCATTGTCAAATAATAACTTAAATTTTTTTGATTTGATTGTAACCTTTTTAACTGGATTTATTTTACAAACTTTTTTTGTAAAATAAAGTTTCGACAAAAATTATCAACGCATTTTAAGTTTTTTCTTTCTCGTACTTTTCAAAGAATTGAAAACTTTAAAAATTTGGTTCCAAAAAAGTGGCACATAATATAAACGAATTATAGTAATATAATGTAGCTTACACTCTCAACAATAATGTAGTCTTGTTATCTACAAAATGTCGCCATTTTGCGTACACTAAGTGTAAATGTTTCACTCGCGTACATTTATGTAGATAAAAAGTCTAGATTACTTGTAGACGCGGAAAAATCTACATTATTGCAGCATCATATCTACAATTAGTGTTGCTTTTTTATCTACAAATTTGTAGTTTTTTATTTATCTACATTGAATGTAGAAGTTTCACTTGCGTACATTATTTAGACAAAAACGCTACACTTCATGTAGCGTGCTATGATAAATCTACATTATTGTAGCTTTTTGGAGTTTTTGCCGATTAATTTAGATTTAGTATTAATTTTATCATAAACACCCTAATATATATATATATATATATACATATATATATATATATATATATATATATATATATATATATATATATATATATATATATATATATAGCATTCAAATTCCTAACTAAAAAAAGTAAACGAACTCTCAAAAACTACTTATTAAACTTTTCAATAAAATCTATAATTTTTATATTTTTATAACTAGAAAATTTACCCGTAATTAAAGAGTGCCAAACACATAGAAAACTAATGTTGTTGTCAAAAACATTAACAAATATTATCTTGGTTTTAATAACATCTTATAAGTTTACTCAAGATTCAGTAGTCTAAAAAAGTCATTGGGAATCGAGCTACTAATTGTTGCTGGAATGCCACAAATCTTTTCAAGTAATGAAAATAACAGCCGCAATTCATCCGAATACTCCAGGTCAAAAACGTAAAATGTTTCCAGAAGAAGCAATACCACCTCGGGAAAGGAATCAGCATCTTCAACCAATATAGCATTTAAATCAACTTTAATGTATACTTCTGATCCTAGTATAAAAATCAATGGCTGTTTGAACCAAGCTAGATTTAAGACTTTAATTGCAGCATCAACTGTCATATTCTAGAAAAAAGTAATATTCGGCTTAATTTTAACCCTAACGTTTAGGATAACTGAATTTCTACATTAATTTAGATAATAATGTGAAACTTGATGAAGCTACTGCCCTAATGTTTGCTTTTATAATTCTGCCAAATTCAAAATGAAGTTATATCAGATTAGATGCGACATAAAAGCGTTAGTAAAAAGTTATATTAAAAAATATTTGATAGGGTATTTAATAAAACCGCAAGAAAATCCTATAAAAAAGAGAATTCCCTGACTTTTACAAGTCATATCAATTAAGTTATAAGTTTCACAAGTTTTCCAAATTTTCGTATAGTTTTTGGGAAAATGTCACTATTTTATAGGATTTTTGCAAAACTTGGCTTGATTGGATAAATCTTTATTTTTAAATCCAGTAATGAAAATATTTTAGAAATAAAAGAAATATAAACTGTAGAAAAGAAACAAATAACTCAATAATAACCTCAAGCTCAACAATAAAACGCATTGATGTTGCTTTACCAGACTTTCTAGGTTCCTTTTTTCCTCTCTTTCGTGGAGATGGTAATAAATAAGGTAGTGCATTAAAAGATACAATTGATTTTTTTGCTAATAAAAAAAAAGCTTTTTATTACATGTATCATTACATTACATTTCATTACCTTAAATATGAAAAAAACATTTCAATTTTCAAAAAAAAGATTTAGTTATTAATTTAATGAATACCTTCATCAACTTCATTTTCAACAGCACTAATACAAAATAACTCTTCTTTCAAATCTTCATCTTTTTCAGAAGCAGTTACTGCAAGTTGAAAAAATACATCTCTGCATAATGACCATTAATTTCGAATATCTTTAAACTCTCCGACTAAAAACGAATATTCTTGCCATATCTAAACAAGAACATAAAACAAATTAAAACACACCTAGGATATAACTTCAAAAAGCACATGCAAATATATGCGCAGCATAGATTTAAACAGACTAATTTAAATTTGAAACCAATTTAGAAGATTTATAAGAATTTTAATAACTTACAGCTTCATTTATATCCAAAAACCTTGGATATCTTTTCATGATAAGAGTAGCATTTGGTTTTGTGTTTAAAATCCAATCTCTTGAAAGATTCGTGTCTCTGCCATCATGTGCAGCAACTCTTCTTTGTTAAGAGCTGTTGGGCGACGTTCTTGTAGCATACGCTCAACTTCACAATTTTCTTCACCGACAAGTTCTCGACATTGTGGTCTAATAATAGCAATGAATCATAAAAATATTGACACAATCAATCATGCTAAAAATTTATTAAATTAATACTAAAACCTACATTTCTTTCCTATGATTCCATTTTGTGATTATATGTTTAGATCTTGAGCCTCGTTGTCTAACATAAATCTCAATGTGGCCAGTATGAGATTTTCCACAATAAAAATGCTCCTAAATGTATAAAACACATTTTCTTTTACAGAAAATCCAAAAGTTTGTAAACGCATAGAATAATTCACATTTTAATGAAACAACCTAATAAATCCAAAAATACTTACATGATCAGATTCCGTAAATTTATATTTTAGACAAGGGAAAACAGTCACTATTGAAATAGCCGTAGCTAATTTTTCCTTCTTTGAGGGCATATCCTGTCTGAATAAAGTAAGATTGAATATGTATAAAATGTGATTGAAAAACTAGTAGAATAAACATACAACTAAATACAAAAAAGACAAAATACTGATACAAATTTACTTACACTTTTGCAACCTCCATAAGATTAAATAAGCCCTAAATTTTGCACTAAAAAGTGTCTTTTTTGTGTTGAATATATTTCACCGCTTGACAACTTTGTCACAAGTGTTGGACCGTGAACACTTGCGGAACTGTTTTCATACTTACAGAGTACCTCTTTTACAGGCTATATCTATTTAATTTAAAAAGCATACGATAGATCATATACTAACAATTCTCTCTTTAGCAAATATTTTGAATAAAAAAGATTATACATTACTAGAGGGTGAAATTGGAAAATTTCTCTGAATTGGTGCAGCTAGTAAGTTTAGCACTGGTGACAATTCATGTTTCAGCTTGATGCTGTAAAATCCCAATTACAGGTATAACTGCACATGACTGCAAACACTGCATAATAAGTTTTCTCTGTCCCATTTTAAAACCTTATTCAACCAAATCATTTTCATTTACTTGTACAAAGGAATTAAAATCCATTGCTTTTTTTATATTTCCTCAAATTGATTACAAAAACTAAAATTATAAAAACATCTTTTTTTTTTTTTTTTTTTTTTTTAATTTTGCTTACATTAAAATGTCAAAGTACAATTATATATGCCATATATATCGTGTTACAATTAAATTTGTGTTACAACATTTATCAACTAAATTAAGATAAGAAAAAAACACGGACATACATATATGAATATAAGCATATATACACATACAAATGCGTAGATGCGCACATACATAATCTGCTTACAATGAAACAAAAGCTAGGATCTGAAAGAAGATCACAAAATCTTGTCATCAGAACCTTATAAAGCACAAACAAGCAAAATAAATACCAGTATAAGATACTAGAAAATAAAGTAAAAATTAAAATAAAGAAAGTACTAAATTCAAGTTGTATTACAATTTTCAAAATATTAGAAGTATCTGAGTATATTATCAAGTAAAATAATACATTTTTTTAGATTGAGCTTGAAAAGGTAAAAGGAAGTTGGTAAATCAAAATTCTGCAAAACTATATTATTCCATAGGTGGGGTCCACGATAAGCAAGGCAAAATTGATTAAATTTTGTGTGACAAAATGGTTCTTTTAAAAAGTTTATGTTTCTCATGTCGTATTTGTTGTTAGGTTTGAGTTGAAAGTATTATTAAAAACGGTAGGGGATTGATTATTTCTCCATAGATATACAAAACATAAAACTTTAAATACATTGAGTTCAAATAAATTTAACAATCTCATTTCAGTAAAAAGAGGTTTTGTGTGTGTAAAACGATCGGCATAGTTAATTATGCCGATCGCATGCTTTTGACGACGATAAAGAAGTTTTAACTTACAGTACTCCCCCAAACAGTGTTGGCATAATTTATGTAACTGTGAATAAAAGAGTAATAAAGTTGTTTTAAGCAATTTTTATTTAGGTAGTTACGAGCTTTACATAGAATCCCAATGTTTTTTGAAATTTTAGTAGATATATAATTAATGTGTTGATTCCAGGAGATGTTTTCATCGAGATAAACACCTAAGAATTTCGTAACGGAATCATTTTTTATTTCAATTTCGTCAATAAAAAGTTGCGGCAAATTTATTGGTAAAAATCGCTTTTTTGCATGCGAATGGAATAGAGTCCATTTGGTTTTATTAATATTTCAAGTTAGCTTATTACATTTAAACCAGTTTGATATATGTTTTAATTCTTTATTCATAGTAGTAAAGAGTTCGTATATATTACTGTTTGAGAGGAATAGATTGGTATCATCTGCGTACATAATGCTTATAAGGTTAGAAGCTTTATTGAGATCATTTATATATATCAAGAAAAGTAGGGGCCCGAGGATTGAACCCTGAGGAACACCGCAGACGATATCAAGACAATTATTTTGATAGCCGTCGTTACTAATTACAAATTGTTTTCTTTTTGTTAAATAGCCTCTAAACCATTTTAAGGCAATACCATTAATTCCATAATATTCAAGTTTTTGAAGCAGAATGTGATGATCTACCGTGTCGAAAGCTTTTGATAGGTCAATGAAGATACCTAACAAGTACTGTGTTTTTTCAAAAGATTTTGAGATTTCATGCACAAACTGGATTATTGCATGCTCTGTTGAGTTATCTTTTTTAAAACCAAATTGTTTGTTGTACAGTAAGTTATTTTTGTTGAGATGTTTGTATATTCTATTAGACATTATTCTTTCTAAAATTTTTGAAAATACCGAAAGAACAGAAATGGGTCGATAGTTACTAATATTTGATCTGTCACTTTCTTTAAAGATAGAAGTAACTTTAGCAACTTTTAATTGTTCTGGAAAAATTCCTTGATTTATAGAAGCTCTAAAAACTTTAAAAAGAATATGTTTTAATATATCGAAACAATCTATAATTACGTTTCCATTAATTTCATCTGCTCCTGTTGCTTTGTTTCTTTTTACAAAATTCAAAGCTACTTCAAATTCCTTAAAAGATAATTCTGAAGATAACTCATCAGAGCAAATGCAATTATCCATAGGTACGAGAAAATCATTAAAAGAAGCCGTCGTATTTGAAATCCTATTTGATAAGGAAGGACCTATCCCAATAAAAAATTTATTAAATTCATGGGATATGGCTCTTGGGTCATATAAACTTATGTTATAAACTTTAATCATCTGCGGCAGAAAACCTAAGCACGATTTTTGTTTTCTAGTAATTTCTTTCATAATTTGCCATCTGCGTTTCAAATCGTTTTTAAATTTATTAATTAGTTCTGAGTAGTAATTTCTTTTTAAGTTTTTACGTATTTTTTCAAATAGATATTTGTAGTTTTTGTATATTTTTTCGCTAGCAGATGTTTTTGTTTTTAAATATTTAATATACAATTTCTGTTTAATTTTTGACGATTTGTTTAATCCCTTCGTTATCGAGGGAATTTTTGAGCTTTTGTTAATTTTTATTATTTTTTCAACAATTGGAAAATTAGCGTCGTAAACGGAAAACAATGTTTTATAAAATGCTTCGTAGATGTTATTTGCATTGTCATTAAAATCAATATGATTCCAATGGAGCAAAGATAGTTGATCTTTAAATAGCTCAAAGTTTTTTTGTTTAAAGATACGTTTTCTTACAACTCTAGGGGTGTTAATATTTTTTTCTAAATTTGAGTTTTTAATAAGGAATAAAGGAAAATGATCGGATATATCAGTTTTTAAAATACCTTTTTGAATATCTTTATTAAAAATATCAGTTGTAATGATATTATCTATTAGGGTAGCCGAGTTTATTGTTACCCTAGTAGGGCAAATAATTAAGGGTATAGACTCTGTTTCAAAAATTGTGTCATAAAATTTTTTAACTTTATACTCATCGTTATAAAGAAAACAATTCATATTAAAGTCCCCAATTACAAAGCTTTTTTTTTTTATGCGTCGCTGGTATTCACAATATGTTGTAAAAACATGCTTAAGTTTTCACTCACGCCGTCAGGTGGTCGATAACAACAGCTTAGTATAAAGGTTTTTGTTTTTTCGAGTAAAAGTTCAATTCCCAGTAAGCACAAAGACGTTTAAAAGACGTTTTAAAGATGTCTTTAAGGAGGTCTAAAAGGCGCACTTTTAGACGTCTAGATCATAAGGCTAAAAGACGTCTAAATGAAGACGTCTTTATAAAAACGCGTTTTAGACGTATGTTAGACGTTTTTTTCAAGATAAATTTAAGTACATGATGTAACATTTTCGCGTAGTATGTGGTATATATTCATTGTATTTATAACATCATATATCGTTATAATTTCGTATATACAAAATATCAAGCAATCAAAATAATATTGCTGTAATCACCACCAACGGTTGATGCATCAAAGATGAAAATAATAAATAACAATAACAAATATATATCAAAACAGTAATTAAAACATTTATAACTTACCTTTAGTTATAATAAAATTTAACATACCTATTGCTAGCTAATTTTTGAGCGCATACTTGACTTATTATATGGCTTGTGGGTGTATAAAAACTAAAAGTACTGATATTTAACTTATATATTATTCTTGCCATTTTCACTTATTATCATGATCAGTCAACTATATATTAAAAAAGCAAAATAATTATTAATAAAAAAAAGATATATTATAATTATAGCAATTATTTTAGTGATTCCTGTAACAACAATTTTTGCAATTGTGTAAAAAAGTAATTTAATTTAAAGTAATTTACACTTAAAACTTGAACAAATTATTGAAAATAATAAAAACTATGTTTTTACTTTGAATATACGACATCTACTTAACGCGTAATGACAAAGCCGTCAAAAAGAAGTCATAATGACATATTTATAAACAGGTCTCAGAAAAGACGTCTTTTAGCTTTGATCTAGACGTCTTTTAATGCGTATTTTAGACTATTTATTACGCGTCTTTTAAACATATTTTTAAACTTTAAAAAGACGCATTTTAAACGTCATGTTAAAATCGCATTTATTTAAGACGTCTAGAAGATGTCTTAAAAAAAGATATCTTCTAGACGTTTTTTTAACGCTTAAATAGACGCCTTTTAAACGTCATTTTAAAAACGCCTTTATAAAAGACGTCTAGAAGATGTCTTAAAAATTGACGTTTTCTAGACGTCTTTTTATCTTTAAAAAAGACGCCTTTTAAACGTCATATTAAAAACGCATTCATAAAAGACGTCTAAAAGATGTCTTTAAAACGTCTATAAAAGTGCGTCTTTACTTAGACTAGTTTTAGACGTCTATAAGTGTCTAAAATGCGTCTTGTGTTTACTGGGTTGTTAAAACTTCTTTATCGCCATCGGAGACGCTTAAATCGTTTCTCATATTATAAAAGATACTTTCATGAACATAAATTAGAAGCCCTTCACCTCGTTTACTCGTTTACTCGTTTTTCTTTCTTGTGAGATAATTTTAAAATGAGGAATATTGAAATTATTGTCAAAATCGTTTAATGTAACCCATGTTTCAGTTAAACAAATGATATTAAATAGATTTTTTGTTTCTTCAATAAATTTAAAAGTTTTTCAAAATTCCGATTTAAGCTTCTTATATTGAGGTGGAGAGTTCTAATTTGATTGGAACTTTTTTTAATTGCATTCTGAAAAAGAAAACCTTCAAGCTCTTTAGGATAAAAATAAGCACAATCCGTAAAAGTATCGTAATAAAAATTTTTATCTGGGTCTTTGTTTTTATCAGAAGAAAAGTGGTTTCCTTCAAAAAAATTAAAAGAAATGGATTCAAAATTGTTCATAAAAGCCACGATTATTAAAATTAGGTTAAGGTTTCTTTTTTAGAATGCGTAATTCGATTATTTGTTTGGAACGTTTTTTAAAATATTAGTTTTAAAAGAAATAATTTTATCGTAACGAACCGAAACATTCTCACCGTTTAAACGTC